GATACAAGGGCTACAATATCGATACTGCTCCTTAGAGTATCGATACTCCATACATAAAATGCCCAAAAATCATATTAGATCATCCATTATCAATATTGTTCATCAAATATCAATACCCTAACCTAGAAAACCTAGAAACAGGATCGGGAAACACTTAAAAATCCTCCAAAATACTCTAGTTTGGTCCCAAATCAACTTCTAAGGCTTAGATAAGTTATTTAAGATTATTTAGCATTATGAAAACATAATACAATAATCAAACAAAACCCCTACATATGATCAAATACCCAAATCCTCAACAAGGTATCACATTTAGGAAATTCATAACACAACAAATGATTAAAAATACAATACCTTTGCTAGAGAATCCAAAAAATGAAGCTTCTTTCTTCAACCACACTTGTTTTCTAATCTTGCACTTGAATTTGAGCACTTAACCCCCACAACCATATTGTTACCCTCAGTATTGATACTAGGGTTGCAATATTGATATTGCTCCTTAGAGTATCAAAACTCCCTATAAAATACCCAAAAAATCATCCCAATTCATCTAGTATCGATACCCTAACCCAAAAAACCTAGAAACAGGCTCAAGAAACACTAAAAAAATCCTCTCAAACACTCTATTTTGGTCCTAAATCAACTTTTAAGGTTTAAAGAAGTTATTTAGGGTTATTTAGCATTATGAAAATATAAGCTTTACACCAAAAACATCATCTAATGAAAGAATCAAACAAAACCCCTAAATATACTCAAATACCCAAATCCCCAACATGGCATCACATTTAAGAAATTCATAACACAACAAAGTATTAGAAATATACCACCTTAGCTAGAGAATCAGAAATGAAGCTCATTTCTTCAACCACACTTGTTTCTTTATCTTCCACTTGAATTTGAACACTCAACCCCCACAACCTCTTGCCAAACAAGAAATGAATGAGTTTCTAAACAATGATGTTGTTGGAGGATTTAAGAAACGAATTTAAAGTTCAAAGGAAGTATAAAAAAGCTTAAGAAACTTACCCTTAACTAGAGCACTTAGAGGGGAAGTAGGTGAAGGAAAAATGAGAAGAATGATAATAAACAGAAAAGGATGAAAGAGGATATAAAACTCTCATCTTTTCACAAATGCTAGAATCATATATTTAGTCCTTTCATTTTGTCTTATATCCAAAAATCTCCTATTTATAACCTTTTTGGACCCTATTTCAAACCCATTAATTTATCACTCGACCTAACAATATTTGGGGTGTTATAGAGGATTTGACAAAGCATTGTACAATAGTCGAGGGACCATTTGTGCACTTTACCTCTTAATATATATATATAATGAGTTAAACAGAATATTATCAATTTGGATACGAGTTCACAACTTTGCTTCAAACCTAGAACATTTAGTTGAACTAAAAATAAAATTAAAAGGATTGAAATCCATAATTTATCCCTAAAAATCCATACATAATTAGAATTTAAAATATAATATAATAAAATTAGGAGATAACGACTTCTTAACATATACCTTATTGAGAGAGATGAGTTAGTTACGAATAAAGAAATGTATAAAACTTAGATAAGCAAAACTATAGAGTTTTGAGGATTTGTATGGGTAAACTACATTATTAGCTACTAAAATTTAAGGTATGTTTCGTTTTAGTCATTAAACTGTAATTTTTTATATTGTCATTAAACTACCTTCTTTATCGAATTTATGAGTTTTTTTCTTTTTATTTTTCGGTTGTTACCACTATTCCCCAACATTTTATGCCGTCACTCTAGACATAAAGGCAAACACAAGATTTTAAGTTAGGATACGTACTTAAATTTTTAAAATTCAAGGGTGAACTTAAATTTCATAAGGCGAAAATATATTTTTAATAAAAAATACATAAAAAATCTAAAATATAATAGTTTTAAAATTTCAGGGGAGGCGCCCTACCCGCCCCCAATCCATCTCTATCTAGACACATACCTCATCATCTTTTATAATTTTATCAATATAGATTATCTAAAATTAACTTTTATATATAGTAGTTGTTCGGTTATATTTAACTTAATATAATTGATTATAACTTCAATTTTTGAAAACAAAAATAATGATTAAAAGAAAAATCTTAAAAACAATTTCGACGATATCAACAAATAATTTAAAATTTGTAAAAGTATTAAAAAACTAAAAAATGACTTTTAAGAACTTAGAAAAGTAAAAAAAATCAAAATAAATTAGGATGAAATATATTAGACTACCGACTAGATTATCATATTGACGACATTAAAAATTTAACATCAATAACGATTTGGTTTTTTTAATTGAAGATCAAATTTTATTTTTTAAAAAATTTAATTTTAACTAAAAAGGATCAAATTGATTAAAAATAAATATTAATAATTAAATTTACTACTATACCTTGTGAATAAAAAAACTTGGCATATGCTTCTTTAAAGCATATAATTTTTTGGATAGGGATGGCAACGAGTCAGAATTTTTGGTCAATCCGACACGACTTGAAAATATGTACCTTCATTCAAATCTGACTCGACTCAAAAATTTTATATCCTACATCCGATCTGACCCGACTTACCTTCCACCCGATTTTGACCCGGTCTGATTTTTAGTGTATAAACCCAAACCGACTCGTCACGGTATAAATTAAGGATTTAATTAAAAAATAATATTTTTTAATAAAATTACATTATTATCCTCGGGTCTGGTCGGATCGGAGTTTTTCCACCTGCACCTAAACCTGACTCGACCCAAACCAAAAATTTTAAAAAAATCTGACCCGCTTAGGTTGGATAGGGTTAGAACTCGTCGGATGTAGGTGAAATTGTCATCCCTATTTTTGGATAAACTATATATTTAGTCACTCATCTATTTTCAGTACACTACAATAAAATGGATTTATAACGGCATTTTTAGCGGCGTTTTAGAACAAACGCCACAAAATAATAAATTTCACAGCGTTTTAAGCAAAACGCTGCTAAATAATCGTACTTTAGTGATTTTTTATATAAACGCTGCTAAAGACTGTACTTTACGTTTTGGTCATTCAATATTTAACTTTACGTTTTGGCCATCTTTCGCTAAAAAATTAATGGTGATACTCAAGTGTTACCACAAGGTAATGTCACATCATCTTTAAAAAGTAAAAACAAGTACCACGTCAATAGTTCTATATATTTTTTAACGGCGAACGAACAAAACATAATCAAAACGTAAAGGAATGTATGAATTTAAAAAATAGCTGGATGACCAAAACAAAATCATAAAAATAGTTGAATGACTAAATTATTAGTTTACCCTAACGTTTTTTTAAACAAGTTTCCATTTTGTTGCTTCTTTTTCATGTTCGAAAAACAATAAATTGTTAAACAAAGCTTCATCGTTCTTTTTCGTAACATCACTTTTAGCATTAGATCTCTTCTTTCTAAATTCATATAATATTATCATACAAAAAGTATTTTAACATTTAAAGCGGTTCCCAAAAGTTTTATCTGCTGCAGTTATAAACCTATTAAGCGGTTCCCCAAGTTTTCCATCAATGACAGCGGTGGTGATTTCCTCTCCGACCACTTCCCTCTCGTTTTTCTTTAATTATTATTAGATTTTTATGCATATTTTTACGTATTTATAATAATATTTTCCCTTGACTCCTTTTTAATAAAATATATCACGACTACTAGTTTTTTAAACTCTCGGTGCATGTTTATTCCTTTGGTTTTCTTCGTGGTCTATGGTTCTTGTGAATTTCATAGTTGCTTGCTTTTTCGATGTCTGGTTCCTATGTTTGTATATAACATCCTATTGGTTCGAACATTTGTGTAAGAGAGACTGTGATTAAAGGAGGATTTGTTTTTCATTTGTTTACTTTGGATTCTCTTCAAGTTTCCTCCTCTCTATCATATGATGCTTTGGGAAGTTGGAGCGATCCATCTCTACATGTCATTTATTAAATTATTTAAGATCTTACTCATCGGGCTGTCCATGATTGATCGTCGATACATTTTACTTATAATATACTTGAATATATTTGTCTTGTATGCATGTGACAAGACGTTTGTTGATGTTATTTTAAGTGGCTAATGAATATATTATAGTTTTATTTTTTTTTTTAAAAAGGTTGTGTTTTTCTTTTGCAAAACCCAAAGATTTTCGTTAACCCTAATCTCTTTTTTCACATTATCAAACATTAATGGATCTAGAGATATTTATTAGGGTAGACACTCGTATTTTAATTGTAAAAAAGTAGGTTCATGTATTTTTAAAAAAAAATTAATGTGGCTCTCGCATTATTTCTTTCACAATATGACTCTCTAACTCAGAAAATAAGTACAATATATTATTTTGATCAACGTTTTTCATCGTTGATCGTTACGATGTTGACGTGACTCTTCATGATAGTTGATAAAGTGATGAATAACATGACATATAAACTATCACATCAGTATCGTGAACCGTCATATTAACACTAAAAACTATCACGTCAGCACAGTAACGGCCAAATGAAGAAAAACATTGATTAAAGATTTATTTTTTGAGTTAGAGAATCATTTTGAGAGAAAAATAATACGAAGATCACATTGAGAAAAAAAATAATATAATGGTCATATTAATTTTTTCAAAATTGTAAGAATCCCTAATGCCTTTTTATATATATTAATAATATAAAGTTTTTAATTTAAATAAACAAATAAAATTTCTAAATAAACATCACTAAGTAATTAATCGAAAATATTAGAATTTTGTATCGGACCGATTATTACACTCGCTTCACGCGCCTCAACTGCGTCTGCTACCTTTTAAATTCCCATCCGCAGATGCGAGACAAAATGAAACCAGCAGTGGTTCTCTGTTGATGACAGGCGTGAACCCACACAGGTGTTATCCGTTAACTTTCCACGCGTCTACGCTGGAGCGTGTAGCTTCTTCTTTATTTTCCCACCCAAAGAGAAAATTTCTTCTTTATTAATAATCATTTTTTCACACAAACACGCCAAATCGCTCTCTCTTTCAATTTCCTCACCGTTTCTTCCATTTCTATTGGTGTCGTGCGTTAGTAATGACAGCACATAACATGGCGACGATAACGGAATCATTAGAAAGGTCTTTACAGAACTGTTCGTTGAACCACGAAAGAAGAACCAGTAACGGCGGCGGAGGCGGCGGTGAGGATGGATTAATAGGGAGTTCGTCTACACCAGACGAGAACAACAACAGCAGCAGAAGCCCTCCAATCACCGTATCCGACACTAGCTTGGAGATCAACTCCCATCTCTCTCTTCCCTACCATTTGGAACAATATCTTGATCTAAAGGTTCGTTTTTTCTGCTCTGGGAAGGGTTAGAAAAACAGTTTTCTGGTCGTTTTCGTGTTACAGACGCAATTAATGTGAAACTCATGGCAGATCTTGCTCCCTTTTCTTTGTTGGGTATTTCTTTCAGTCTTTTCTTCATGTTTATTGCTTCACATATGGTATCTCCCACGCGCATATACAAAGCTGAAGAAACCCTAGAAATATATATATATATATATATATATATATATATATATATATATATATATATATATATATATATATATATATATATATATATATATATATAGCAGGGGAGTCACATATCAGTCTTGAAGTTCGAATTTTTCTTGGTTAATTATTTATTTTATAAATGATGTTTATTTTAAAATTTTTGTGCTTATGAAATTTAAATTTTATTTGATTAATTATTTATTTTACGGACGATACTTATCCTAAAATTTTATTTATATTCATCTCTTTTAAAAATTATATATATATAACCATTCTTTGCCTTGTTGTAAGAATCAATGCAAAATGAAATTGCAAATAGTTAAAAACTATGAGATTCATCCCTATAGATTATTACGTTATAGGTTTGCAGTTGATACTCACATGCTAAAGAATTCGGGGTTGTTTTTGTTGTTTATTCTGGTATTTCTGGAAAAAATTTAAAATAAAGAATTTTGTAATTTTAAACCTTCAAATTTCTAATATAATTTTTTAAGTATTCATCCCTGACATAAAATCATTCGTTTGTCTTGCAGACGGGAGAGATTTACTACATAAATTGGAGGAACGGGATGAAAGCGAGGGATGATCCAAGGACGGCAGCTCAGTACGGCGGAGGTTTTTACTCGGAGGAGGAAGCTGACGAAGAGGATGATGGCTCGTATGACAGTGAAGAGTTTCGATCGGAGTTATCTCCTTGTTCGACAAGGGACAACAGCAGGAGCAACAACAACTACCATGGGGTAGAGAAAGACAAAGAGAATGTGTTGGTAGTGAGGGGTTACAAGAGCTGCCTCATGTATTTCATGGTCCCCAAACATGTTGAAGATTACTCCAAATGTAATGGTTGACTCCTTCACTTTGATCGATCCCAAACTGCCTCTCCTTGAACCTCATTTTGTCTTCTTCTTCCTCACCTCTCTTAATCATCTGTTTTATTATTGTGTGTGGAATGACCACATTACACATTCGAATTGTTTAGTTGAAGCTTTGATTCATTTTCATTCATCTTCGTTTCTCCGGGACATTCTTTCCTTCTTTGATCTTCACTATTTGAAAAAAAAATTAACTTAAAACTTTATTTAAAAGAATGATTGTTATTTTTAGATATCTCGGGTTCAAACGCCAATGACTATACATGGTATTTGAGAGTGTTTATTGTCGAAACGTTAGTGTTTAGATAAGAGACTACTAAGCATTCTAGATTAATAAAAAAAAGAGAGATAAATGTATAATATGTCCCCAATCTATGACATTTATTTTAAATTAGTCCTTAAACTTTTAATTATTTTAATTTCATCCCTAAACTATGACTTTCATTCCAAATTAGTCCTTATACTTCTAAACATTCCAATTTAACCCCTAAACTATGAATCTCATTCTAATTTTGTCCCTAAACCTTTAAATCTTTCATTTTCATCCCTAAAGTCATCCAAATATGTAATTAGTTTCAAGCATAGTTCAACCTAAAATTTATTTTTTTCAAGCATATAATCATATAACTTGGCCTAACGATTTTATTAACAAAGGATGAGATTAGAAAATACATATAGTTTGGGATGAAATTTATAGTTTTCAAAAAGTTTTAGGACTAATTTAGAATGAATGTCGTAATTTAGGGGTGAGATTCAAATATTTAAAAGTTTAGGGGCTAATTTGAAATAATAGTCATTATTTGAGGATGTATGATGTAATTAACTCAAAAAATTAAACCCTTTATTATTTGTCGTAATTACTCAACCGCTTAAGGATTTTTTTTTTAATTTTCTACTTGTTTATAGATTTGACTATGATAAACATGTTGGAATATTTTAATACATCGAGATCATTCATTAATCTTATCTTAAATCAAATCATCTTAATCAAGCCGCTAACATTTTGAAAATATTAGTGGCCTTCCACCAAAGGTATATTAATTATTTCATTTGAGCATGCTTACATTTTAGAGAGTCATCCCTAATAGGTAATCTGTAAAGTCCTATGTAAATTCCAATTAAGTCTTAGGTATGCCATTACCCTGAATTAGAGGAGCCACCATTGACCTAAACTTTTTTTTTTGTACAAAAAAAATGAAATAATTTTGAATTTTAAAGTTTAAGTCTTATTCTATGAGATCATTATATTTTAATTTTAAAATTAATTATGCTATTGAATTTGGTAAAAAAAAATTATATAATCAAATTCGATGAAAAGGTCAATTAATTTTTTTTATCACGTTATTATTCACAAATAAATTATCACATTAACATCGTGGATTGTTATATCAATATAATGAACTATCATATCAGTATTGTAAATAATTATATTATCATCATAAACTTTTACGTCAACGTAATAACAATACACGTCGATACAAAATTCATGTCAGTCGGATGAAAATCAAAATAGGTCGACATTCCCAAAAGATTCTCATGACCCATGAGAAAGTGAAAGCTATATATATAAACTAGTTTTTTTTTACCTCAATTTTATTTGTATTTTTTATTTTGGCCATTTAATTTTAATTTTTTAAAAATTTTATAGTTAAATTTTTAAATTTTCTTTGTTTTAGCAACCCAATCTTCAAATGTCTCATGTCAGTATCAAAATGTTGCGGTCTAAGATATTTTTATTTATGAAATGATCCTAAACTTTTAACCTTCTTCTTTTTCGTGATCAAAGTCCTTCTCTACCGCCACTCGAATATGTCGATTGTTTACAATATAATTGGTATCTAAACATTTTTTTTTCTCAATTTAGTTTTCTTCAAAATTAATAAAACTCAAATTAAAACTTTGATTTCTCTTAGTACGATCTGCAATCTTCGTCCCAATCAGCATAGAATCAAGATATATATTTTTCTCGTCCTTCTTATTATTCTCACCATTTAAATTTGAAAACAATTTTGAAACCAATAAATCAAAGAGAGTACGAAAATATTGATTAGATATAAAAGTTTTAACTTTTTTTTTTTTACAGAAATTTACCCAAAATCTAAATAACGTTAAGGGCTTAAAGATCGAGTGACCAATATAAGTGAAATTTGAAAATTAAATAAAAAAATATTTACCGTTAAAAACATTTTGGAGTGGTGGAAATTTGATTATTAATTTTAAGAGGATAAAAAGTTAAAATTATTGTGTCAATAATTTTAACTTTTGTATTTCCATAGTGACTGGATTGAAGTTTTATCATTTTTGGAGCCAAAAGTAATTTCTTTATTTGCATTCAGGGTCTAGGCCTACCTAGGCCATGCCCCCCTATGCCCAAAAGGGTAAATTCTTATTAAGTCACCTATTATTATTTAGTTTTTATTTTGGTCACTCAATTATTATTTATGTTAAATCACACTTAATTTACATTTTGGTTATGTTTTTGGTCTATCATCTTTAAAAAATTAGCGCTGATGTTGATATAACATCATAAGATAATATCATGTCATGATTGAAAAAGAATTAAAAAATTCATGTTAACATCATTGTTATTTTTTTAACGATAGGTGATCAATATATATATATATATATATATATATATATATGATTTTTTAGATAAAATTTTTATTATGTTTATATTAACCCACTCTATAAAATTCTTCTGGATTTGCATGTGTGGACATCCCTGGTGTATATTGAAATGTATAAATACAAACCTTAAACCTCGAATATAATAGAACATAAGTGTTGACAATATTTAATCCGTAATCGGATACACCCCTAATATATTTGAGAATGTGGCCTATAATAGATCTTTGTCAATTTAATTTAAATTAGTTGATGAATAAATTAGATGATTAAATAAAAAAAAAGTAGAATATACAGAAGACTGTGGTTCAAGAGGGCAATAATTTTATATTCTTTTATAATTAAAATTAAATAAAAATATTTAAAAATATTTAGTTTAAAAATAATATTTCATATTATCGATACCAACAAGTTTATCTCATTGCTCATCGATAGTCTGTCTCTTTTAATTTGGACGAAGAGTGGCTGGTGAAAGAACAACCATTGACTGTATATTTTTTCTAAAATAGAAAGTTGTCAATATAGGTTTATGAGGTTTCAATTTATTTTTTAATCTTGATTGAAGTAATTTATAGCGAGTTTTAGTACATATATCAGTCGTAGGGTCATTACAACTATTTATAGAATAATAGATTATGTGAATTCGTTAAATAAATTTTAAATTTCGTTTGAATATATCACATGAGTCTATTAAAGATCTTGTCTAATTACTGTAAGGGGGTGTTTGGTTCAAGGATTGTGAGATTCTCATGGGATGGAAATCCCACATTCCCATGTTTGGTTGGCCGGGAATCTCATTCCCAGTAATGTTTTATTACCAATAGTAGATTTTTTGGGGTATATTACCGGGAATGTCATTACCTCCATTCCCTTAGGTATTGTAACATTACCGGTGTTTTGGACTAAAATGCCCTTAAATTTTTATTTTTTTTTCAAAAATATCCTTTTTCAGTCATTGAATAATAAAAATTCTACGAAGGTTAAATTACAAATTTATCCTTAAATTATTTTAAATTTACAAAAAAAAATATATATAATTAAATTTTTATATAAAGTTCAAGGGTTAAAATTTTTTTACCCTTTCATTAAACCTTTTTTATATTTTTAATTTTGTAAAAAAAATTATATAAATATTATTAATTTAATTTTTTAAAGAAAATATATAAATATTTTACAATTTGTAATATTATACAAATATATTAATAAGGACAATTTGGTCAAATATACATTCTAATAATCTTTTATTCCTTTAACCAAACACGGTAATCTTACATTCCTGTTAAACCAACCAAACACAAAATACAACATTCCCAGTAATCCTATTCCCTGGTAATCTTTTATTCCCACTGGTAATCTTACATTCCGTGAACCAAACGCACCCTAATTGATTAAAAATTTGCATTCAGAGGGTATATGACTAACGACTAGTTGGAGGTTCTAGTGGATTGGAAAATTTATTTAAAGACCTTGACTGATAAAGAGTTGATAGTTTCAACGAGTTTGATATAGGAATGGAAATGGATGGGCGAGTGTAGATGTTTTTTCCCATTCTTATACCCGCATAATATTTTTGTATCCATCATTTACCCATCACTTACGAAGGGTAAAATTTTTAAATTCACACATGCCCACGCATGTACATTCTCAAATCTATTCTCAATCCGAGTACTTAACTGGATACCCACACTCATCCAATCTCGTCTATACCCATCCATAACTACCAATTTGAGATAGGAGAAACGATTGTAAGTTCAATTCTAAAAATGTTTATACCCTAACATATGGTTAAATTACAAGTCATGTCCTATACAATCTTAAGATTTACAGAATAATCTCTGAAATTATACATATATTCATAATGATTCAAAATTTATATGACGAACGGATGCGAGGTGATTAAGGTCTCAAACTCATCACCAATCCACTACTCACAACGGATATAACTTTTTATATCTACATCCATCCGCTAATCATTAAACTTATACTTATCTCCGTCCCAATTAAAATGAATACAATATAAAATCCATGAAATTGTATTCGTCTGTAATCTCTAGTCTAATATGATAAAAGTTTAAAGGTTTTCGAAAATCATTTCCGGAGATATGACAAGTATTAAAAAATCAGTTGTGTGAAACCATAAGCGACCATAGGATGAAGGGAATTCATAGGAGAAATCAAAATTTACTAATCGGACGGTAATCATGGATTACCAGTCACAGATCGTCTCCACACTGAAGCAGAGAATCCATTGGAGAAATCAAAGAGCTGTGATTTGAGCCTCTGGCCTTTAAAGGCCTCTTAGATGGGCTCATTTATTCATTCCCTTCTCCCTTTTAATTGTTTACAAGTTATAATTAGACCGAGGAAATGGGCTCAAAGTCCACGAGCATTGTTCTTTTTCCTCCTTTTGGTTGACCATTTCATCAGCTTGTTTGTGTGATTTTCCTAGATCCTCTTACCTAGGTGTAAATGAGTAGAGCGTTTGATGAATTATTCGTGAATCGTTTGTATAACGATTGTTTATGTTTGTTTATAAATACTAAATAAACGATAATGAACAAAATTCTTATTTCATTTAATAAATGAACCACTACGAACAAAAGGCCTATTCGGTTCATTTATGTTCACGAACAAACTAATTTATAAACCCATTTACTTCATTATCATTTTCCTTTTATTTTTTACATTTTAAATATGATGAAAAATATATACTAAATTGAACATAAGGAAAACTTTGGAGTTCAAATTGTGAAACCTAGGAATTTATGGACTAGTAGCATAATTTTATTATTTCTCTTTGACTTACAAATAAACGCGTAAAAAGCGAGTGTTGGTTCTCGAAAATTAAACAAACACATTCACGAGCATCGAGTGAAATGTTCACGAACGGTAAACGAATATCTTCAAATATAAATAAACGAACACGATATTAAAAATTTAAATCAATACGTGTTGAACATAAACACCTTCAAAAATAAACAATCGAACACAAAAATAATTTTATTAATTCAAGCTCCGGTTCATTTACACGAACCGGAAACATTACATTTCGTTTTAACCGTTCTTGCCTCGAATACCAAAGAGCTACGTGAGAATCTAGTAATAATAGTTCATCCCTTCTACTTCCATTGTTGTTTTATTGACAATTATTTCATGTTTTGGACCTTCTTTTGATTCAAATCCTATTGTACTTAAGTTATGCCCAAATCTTTTTCCTAATCAAATGTATATGATAAATATTAACCTTTACAAGAAAGAAACACAAATTAGATTAGTAATAACACACATTGATCTATAATCCCAACTACTCTATGAGACAAAAAAAAAAATCGACCAACAACCAATTGGTCTAGTGGGATGAGGCACTAGGTTCTTTAAGCAAGGTCAGGGGTTCGAATTTTGGCATTTGCGAATGGAGAAAACTGGGTTGGGAGGGTCGTCCTTGCCTTTGCAGTACCCAATCTGGATTAGTCAGTCAATAGATTGGATACCAGTGATTAATTAAAAAAAATCTATAATTACTCTCTTAAATCATGAGATAATTCTCTTGCGTTACAAACGTATATACTGGAATCCTCAAATAAAATTGGCAAAATACGAGCATTAACTAATTAATTGATTTTCAGGTTAAGAATGTATAGAACTTTTGATTTTCAACTATGGGTTTTTCTCTGGGATGGATCAATGGAAGCAGATAACAGCAATCATCTCCTAAAAGATTTAAATTTTTATATGTTTGAGACATTTTCTTTATATTTTTCGAATGAAAATTTGTTTTCTATATTCTAAAATTTTATAAATTTGTTTTTCCTTTAAATTTGATAAATTTACTCTTTTTAACATAAAATCTTCCGTATTTTCTCCTTGAATATAACGAGTCTACTCGACCATGGTTCTAATTTAGCAAATGGGATTTGAGGTTTTGAATTTGAGCAATGGGTAGAGTACGATCATAGGTTTGGTTCTTTTAAGGTTTCTATTGTTTAAGTATCATAGTATGAGTAGTTCTACTGTACAACAACCTAATTTAAGGTTAATAAACGTAAGAAAATGAGACTTAAAATGTTATAAAAATCATATTAGTTTATGTTGGATGCAATATAAAATGTAAACTTTTTAACATTTTTGGTTGAATTGAAAATATTATGAATAATATAACATTTTCAGTCGGCAATCGAAAATGTTACAAAAGAACGTTTTCAATAAAAAAATGTTAATAAAAAATTAACATTTTAATTTACGTCCAACCTAAAATGTTACGAGTTTTATAACATTTTCGATTGTACATTTCCTTAACCTTAAATTAAGTTGGGTTTAGATTCTTCCAATATCATAATTTCGGGTTTCGATTGTTGTAGAGATAGAGGATGAAGGTTAGGGTTTTTCTTAAATTGATGGGAAACAAATTAAGAAAATCCAAAATTGGATTATATCAAATATTATTTTTAAAAGACAAAACTATTAGTTATCACATGGCAATTAATGTAGGCTGAACAAAATAAAATATGTCAACGATATTTGTTACAAATTGTTAAGGTTGAGGAATTTGAACTTATAAAGTTAAGTTTAAATTCTATTACTGTTATTTTTTGTGAGCAATTTGTAAATTTTTATGTAAATTTTAACTGAGTGTTAGGCAGGGACGGAGCCATAATTAAATTTTGACAGGGGCCGAAATATTAGACTATTTAAGAAAATTTTAAAGACTTATTAGGTATTTAAATTAGAAATTCAGCATGAACCAAGCGACCTTAGTGATTAAGGGATTGTTGTTATCCTTGAGGTTCCAAGTTCAAACACGTATGTAGGGGTATGAGCGTTCATTGCCAAATAGTTTAAAGTCTTTGTACATATATTATCTTGTATTCACCATAAAATTTAAAAAACCCCCCTCAAAACACGAAAAACAACTTATAATTTGTCTAATATTTAAACTTATAGTGACTTAACTTGTAATTAGACAAAAAAATTTGAGAACCAGACTTATCATTCTTTAGTTCGACCCATACTTGATTAAATATTTTATAAACTTTTATATTTTTTAAATTTAAATATTTATTTTTACATGAACTAAAATACCATCAAATAAAAAGTTACATCGAATATATAAATTTTAACGGGGGCCAAGGCTCCCTTAGGCCCTAAGGGAGCTCCGTCCCCAGTGTTAGGTATGTTCTTGCCCTAGACCGAGGAACCACCATTAAACTAAACTTTTTGTAAAAAATAAAATAAAATATGATCTTAATGTAAAAATAATAGAATAATTTTCTTCAGTCAGTTCTAATCAATTTATGATCGGTGAGAATTATACACTCGACCTTAAAAACGAAAACTCAAGACCAAATTTTATTAAAACGAAAACCTCTATTGTGTAAATACTGAATACAATACCTTATATAGAATAAGGATTTAACCTTAGTTATGAATATGTAAAATAATAATAAAATAATATTACAACTTTCACCTAAATTTGGTAAAATTATCGATTTTTTTATTAATTTAATATAATTATAAGATAATATATATTTATAATTTTTCTAATCATTTGATATAAATATACATCTTATATATACAATTACTTGAATCTAAAACTTTTAAAATGAATGACACTGTATTTTACTACTGAAGCCTCTCAGTAGTTTTGAGTTTCAAAACTACTGAATTTAAATACCAATTTATTTTCCTTTAACAATAAATATCGATACAAAAAGAGTTTGTTTCATAAGAGGTCCCCAGATGATGATTTCATTTTAAATTAATATCTAAACTTTAAAAATATTATATATTAGTCCCTAAATTATAATCTCCATTATAATTGATCCATAAACGAATAGTGTGAAAAGCATGTCAAACTACCACAAAAAGGATCTAATTATGAAAGATCAATGATCTTTCATGATCAGGAGTTGTATTGTGATAAATATAGTACGAAATGGTAAATTGTCATAACAAAAACAAATCGCGTCATAAAAATGGAGAAATAACCATACCGAAAAGACAGACAAAATCAAATATTTAAAAAATATACGAAAAAAATAAAAAAACATAAAAGGGGTTTAATTTAAATCAAAATAAAGAAAACTAAACAAAAGAAAGTGAAATAAAAGAAAAAAAGAAGATGACGATACTAGGCGGTAGTCTAAGACAACACTTTAAAAATAACAAGAGAAAGAGAGAACTAAGATTAAACAAATTAATCTTCTAAATTAATAAAATCAATGACATGTTAATAAAAAGAATACTTATAATTTAAATAAAATCATAATTATCATTTAAAGACAAAAATCAAATATACAAATAGAATCTCTAAATAAATAAGAAATTAAGGGATGTTTGTTTACTTCAGAATGATTAAACGCTAAATGATTCAAATATTAAATGATTTAGAGATTCTGTATGAATTAACTCTGAACGTGACATGTTGTTTGATAATGGCTTTGAATCATTCAGAATGTACTTCTGTGCTAAATCATTCAGCACTGTTTTGTTGAATCAGTCAGCACTGAATCATTCAGATGTACGAAACAAACGCGCTGAATATTGAATGATTCAACATTCAACGTTAAATGATTCTATTAAGATACAAATAAACAGTCCCTTAATAATGGAAGTCGTCCATCCCGGTCTCCGCCTAACTATTCCTAGGTACGTCAGACTTGCGCTCACCAGAGGACGAGTCTTTTTTAGGTTTTCATTGGACGCTGACGTGTATGGTCCAGATTTAGAACTCTTGCGTGTCCTAGATTCCCCGTCTTCCTTATAAACAATTGTCGCCACCTTCTTAAAACCCTCAAAACCAACATCACAGATCTGAGTTAAAAATCATTGAGAAAAATTAAGAAATCTTCAATTTATATTCTCCGAGAGATTCATCGGGGGGTGCTGAGTATTCACTTTAATCGCCTTCGAAATTTCCTCTTTTTGTGTTTTGTTTCCGCCCCGAAATTGGGCGAGATCTACTGAAGAAATTTTCGTCGATTCTTGATTTTGTGTGAAGATTTAGGGATTTGGATCGATTTATTACTTATTCTTGAGAAAAAGTGACCGGTGCGTAAATATATGTTTGGTTTCGGGTCTAACTGGATCGATTAAAGTTAAAATAATTAGAAACGAAAAAAAGGGGAACCCTAGGTCAGATGGCAAACGATGAAATCAAAATGGAGGATGTTGAAGAAGGTGAGATTTCGGATTCGGCTTCAATTGAGGAGATCAGCGAGGAAGATTTTAACAAGCAAGAGGTTACGATTTTGAAGGAATCGAAATCGTCGAAAGGTGTCGGGGATGCGAATTCTAATACGAGAGTTTGGACAATGCAGGATCTCTACAAATACCCGTCTGTTTTACGAGGGTACTCATCGGGTTTGTATAATCTTGCTTGGGCACAAGCGGTTCAGAAGAAACCTTTCAATGAAATTTTTGGAAAGGAGGGTGAACAACCACAGCAAGATGAGAACAATAACTCCAAGCGATCGTCGCCGTCATCTTCGGTGGCTTCTGTAAATAGCAAAGAGGAGAAGGGCTCTAGTGGAAATTCAACTGATAGAGTTGTGATTGATGATAGTGGGGATGAGATGGATGAGGACAAGGTTGTCACTCTTGACAAAGAAGAAGGGGAGTTGGAAGAGGGGGAAATTGATTTGGATTCGGAGCCCTTGAAAGAAAGGGGTTTGAGCAGTGAGGACGGTAATGCTGGTAACTCGGATGAGTTGAAGAAGCGAGCTAACCTGATTCGGGGAGTACTGGAAGGGATTACTGTGATTGAAGCAAAGAAGTATGAATACTGTAATGAAAGGACTACCTTGTTTTAATCTTAGCGAGTAAAATGGCTCTGCTGAAATGTTTTTTTCCCAAATTTATTCTTTTGTAGATCCTTCGGGGGTGTTTGTTCCATATTGCAGAATGCTTTGGAGAGCTTACCAGGATTGGTATTTGAATCTAGTCTTCCCTCGAAAGATACACTTATTGAACTGGCGTTTGGAGCAGTTAATTCAGTAAGAATGGAGGAGTTGTACTCTCATAGTTTTGCTCTAATGGTTATATGAAAATTTTGGTTAATTTATAAAATGATATTTGCAAATATTGCAGAGTCTTATTTCTTTTCATTGCAGGCTTTCGTTGCTCTGAATGTCAATGTAAACGAACAGAATGTGTCCATTATATCAAGGTATTTTATTTGGTTTTAATACATTTTCTCTATTTTTCTTTTTTGTCAAATCAATTTGCTTAGTTATCTCTTTGTTTTTGCTTTTTGGGAACAGGCTTCTTTCTGTTGTGAAAGGTTTTGATCCTCCTCTGTTTCCCCCTGACAAGATGAAAGAGGTGTGTGGTTCATGACTTACTAGTGTATGAACTATTAGCATTGTAAGATTGTTGCGTTTATGGTGAGGCTAAACATTACCTCTGCTTTACAGATAGAGGTCATGCTGCTGTCTCTGCATTCACCGGCTAGAGTAATTGACACGGAGAAAGAGATAAAGATTGTGAATAATAAGGATGCTGATGCCTTAGCTGAAAATGTTGGTCATGATTTGACCATAACTAATAAGTTGCCTTTATCTGTTGATTCCGAATCTTATAATAGGCCAAATATGTCAATGGAAACTTTAAAGCCTGGAGTACCTAATTTTAGGAACAAAGGTCTTTCACTACCCCTTCTAGACCTTCACAAGGATCATGACGCAGACAGCCTTCCCTCGCCTACAAGAGAAACAACACCATATTTACCCAGTTTACCCATACCCAGGCCATTGACTATTGGAGATAGTATTGTTAAATCTGGACTTCTGATGACCAAGGGTTCACATGATGCAGTAGCTAATAAATTGCACCCTTATGAAACAGATGCCCTCAAAGCCTTTTCCAGCTATCAACAAAAATTTGGTCGAGGTTCTTTCTTTTCAAGTGATAGACTTCCTAGCCCAACCCCTTCTGAAGATTCCGGTGATGAGGGTGGTGATAATGGTGCGGAGGTTTCTAGTTCCTCCAGCATTGGAAACTTTAAACCAAGTATGCCTGTTCAGGGGCATCCAATTGTTTCCTCACCACCTTTTCTTGATACTGCCAGTTCAACTTCTAGCATGCAGGGACAGTTGACTTCCAGCATGCAGGGACCGATTTCAACTCAAAATGCTACACTTGTGACTGTGAGTTCTGCATCTAATATAGGGTTAAAGGCCTCAGCAAAAAGTAGAGACCCTAGACTTCGGTTTGCCAACTCCAATGCAAGTGCTTTGGATCTAAACCAACGGCCGTTGCATAATGCTTCTAAAGCATTGCCTGTTGATGGAATTACGGATTCAAGAAAGAAAAAGAGTGTAGAAGAACCCGTTTTAGATGGTCCTGCACTCAAGAGACAAAAGAATGAGTTGGTAAATTTTGGGGTTGTTAGGGATCATGTTCAAGCTATATCTGGAAATTGTGGTTGGTTAGGGGATACTGATAATAATGGGTCTCAGATGACAAATAGAAACCAAAACGTAGAGAGATTGGATTCCAATTCCCGGAAAATGGAATATGGAGTATCTTGTTCAAGTACTTTAAGTGGAAAAACCAATATGACTGTCAACAAAATTGAGCAAGTGCCACTGCCAGGCATGAGTACCCCTTCTTTGCCTGCTTTGTTGAAAGATATTGCAGTAAATCCGACGATGCTGATAAATATACTTAAGATGGGACAACAACAGAGATTAGCATCTGAAACCCAGCAGAAATCCCCCGATCCTGTAAAAAGTACATTGTATCAGCCGAGCTCAAATCCAGTTCTGGGAGTAGTTCCCCCAGGAAATGTTATTCCCTCACCCTCAGTTAACATTGTGCCCTCAAGCTCATCTGCTACTTTGTCAAAACCTGCAGGAAATCTTCAGGTTCCTCCTCCTGTGAGCACCTCATTACATATTTGCATATTTATATATACACACATATTTATAGTTTTGCATATACACATATATAAAATAAAATGCAAAACTGTGCAAGCCATGCTTGTTTTAAGCATCTGCGTCATTGGTAAATGTTTCAACTTCAGTGCATTTTGTGGTTTCATGCGGATGAGGATAAATAAAATTGTTTAACTTGTCTTTCGTTCAATGCTTGAAAAAGTAATATTTATTTTGCATCTCTTTTTTTGTCTTATGTTTAATAATTGATGACCTTCTAGGAGGAGTCTGGCAAAATTCGCATGAAACCTCGTGACCCTCGTCGTGTTCTCCATGGCAATGTGCTTCAAAAGAGTGGTAGCGTGGGATCTGATCAAATAAAAACAAATGGGATCTCCGCTACATCAAGCGCCCAGGGAACCAAGGACAATATGAATACCCAGAAGCAGCTTGAGAATCAGACAGAAGCTAAGGCAATGCACTCTCAGCTTGTTCCACCACCAGATATCACCCAGCAATTTACCCAAAGTCTAAAAAATATTGCTGGTATGATGTCTGCTTCGCAACCATTTACCAGTCTGCCAGTAGCATCCCAGAATATAGTCTCCCAACCGATACAAGTTAAGTCTGACAGCACGGATATGATATCAACAGTGTCTAATTCTGAGGATCGGCAGACTAGGACTGGTGCAGCATCTGATGGTGTAGCAAATCCTCCTCCGCAGAATAAATGGGGAGACGTAGAACATCTCTTTGAAAGGTATGATGACCGGCAAAAGGCAGCTATCCAGAGAGAAAGGGTGAGGAGGTTAGAAGAACAAAAGAAAATGTTTGCTGCACGCAAACTCTGTCTTGTCTTGGATTTGGATCATACACTTCTCAATTCTGCCAAAGTGAGTTTTAATTAATCAAGGGTGAACTGTTCCTTAAAAAACAAATCTGATATAGTTTTCTAATTTAAGGCCATTTACTTTTTTTGCCTTCTAAGTTTATTGAAGTAGACCCTGTGCATGAAGAAATCTTAAGAAAGAAAGAGGAACAAGATCGTGAAAAACTGCAGAGACATCTCTTCCGCTTTAATCATATGGGGATGTGGACCAAATTGCGACCTGGGGTCTGGAATTTCTTAGAGAAAGTATGCTATTTCGATTCTTCCTTGACTTCATTATTCTCTGGAACCTCATTTGCAATTGACACTGATTCTCTCTTATCATTTTAGGCTAGCAAATTATATGAGCTGCATCTGTACACAATGGGCAACAAACTTTATGCCACGGAGATGGCAAAAGTGCTTGATCCGAAAGGGGTTTTGTTTGCTGGGCGAGTTATATCTAGGGGTGATGATGGAGATCCCTTTGATGGAGATGAGAGGGTTCCTCGAAGTAAGGATCTTGAAGGGGTTCTGGGTATGGAATCGTCTGTGGTTATCATTGATGACTCTGTGAGAGTCTGGCCTCATAATAAACTTAACTTAATTGTTGTAGAGAGGTATGCATGCGTTTGATTAAACTTACAAGTACGTTGATCCATGCCACTGTCTTGATCTTCTGTTCATCTATCATATTTTCTACAGGTATACTTATTTTCCTTGTAGTAGACGCCAATTTGGTCTTTTAGGTCCATCTCTTCTTGAGATTGACCATGATGAGCGCCCAGAAGATGGGACATTGGCTTCTTCTTTGGCGGTGAGAAGACTGTTTTGCTTAAAATCTTAATTTTTGAAAGTTACTATTTGTCTAACCGTATTTTTATTCAAATAGGTTATTGAGAGAATTCATCAGAATTTCTTTTCACATGAGAATTTAGATGATGTGGATGTTAGGAATATCCTAGCAACAGAACAGAGGAAGATTTTGTCTGGTTGTCGTATAGTATTCAGCAGGGTGTTTCCTGTAGGTGAAGCCAATCCTCACCTACACCCATTATGGCAAACAGCAGAGCAATTTGGAGCTGTTTGCACAAATCAGATAGATGAGCATGTTACACACGTGGTGGCCAACTCTCTCGGAACAGACAAGGTAATTTATTTTTCAGTTTAATTGCTTTGCTTGCTTGGCATTGTTCAAGACAATTAGTCGGCCTTACCTGAATCCAAGCTGCCAGACGCTTTATAACTGCTGTGCTTGCCATACAGGTTTGTGTTGAACAAAAGTTGTCTCGTTGGGTTCATTGACAATAGCAAGGGAAATCTGAGCTCATTGTTTCGGTTTAACCAAAATTAATTCATATATTGTTTTCCACAGGTGAATTGGGCTCTATCTACTGGAAAATTTGTTGTTCACCCTGGCTGGTGAGATTGTCTATCCTTCTCAAGTCGGTCGAATGGTGGAAATTATTAGCTTTTTAGACTTAACATTCCCTCCTTTTTTTCTCTTTTCTAAAAAACAGGGTGGAAGCATCAGCACTGCTGTATCGGAGGGCAAATGAGCATGACTTTGCGATTAAACCATAAATAATCACCCCTAATCATTTTCATAAAACTAAGACCCAATAAAATTGAGTCAAACATGGGTAGAGATGAAACCATCAGGCATTTTTTCGGGGTTGGTTGACGTTGGGACCGAGAGCACCACAAGATTCGATTTCAACGCATTATCCACTGTCAAATGGTTGGCAATTGCAGACTAGCCCTTTAATTGCCAACCTGACGAAAGTAGTCACATGACTCGGTTTGGTTTGATAGAGTGCATAGAAGTTTTTTTTTTGTGTGCCCTTAGAGAACCTTAATGATGGGTTTTTTAGGATTTGAAATGACGACCTGATTGAGCAGGGGAGGGGGTGGTTTCATTAAAGCTCAACACTTGCAGTACTAATAAAACTGCCAAATGCCTAAGTGTGAAAGAATGAAATACAACTAATTGAAAAGAAAACCTCACCAACGGAATAAATGAGTGCTAAAAGGTATAAAGAAAGCAGAGGTATTTGAAAGAGGAAAAAAAGATGCGAGAGAGAGCGTTGTTGGTATGCACACGGGTCCGACTTGGGAATTAGGGGATGTTCTATGTTTAAATCACGAGGAACGTAACGAATGGTGTTTGCAATTGGTTTGTAATTCATTTCTCTATTATTTATTATATTATTTTTTGTGTGCTGGTTGTTGATTTTGGTGGTCCATCGAGTCTTGTGTTGGAATCAAAAAAGAAAAGAAAAATTCAGAGGTGCTATATTTGTGTAGTTTTGAAGGTGATGGAGAAGACTGGGTTTGAGGAATTGGAAGGAAAACTAGAAATAGAATTAAAGAGTGAGATTGGAAGTCAAATTTGGTACTTTAATTTGAATATATTGTCATATCTGGCTGTGCTTGAGAATTAAGATTAATACGGTCCTACCCCATACGTAGCCAGGCGATAGGGCGAGAGATTCCTTACCAAAATAGGCTTCAGGAGGACCACGACCAAACCCCGCAGCTACGCAATAGCATTGCGGTTTATGTCGCTTTTCTTATTTGCATGCTTTCTGAAAATTGGGAACTTAAGGAGAAAAATTAAGAGATAAAACGCACGCAATGGATAATCACATCATTTCAAGTTTATCACAATTTTTCAAAAAATGAATATAAATCTTAATTTTAAGGTCCTAATGAAATAAATGTTATATGCATGCACGGATGTCTTTTATATAAATTTAAGTATACATATTTGATATTCTGAATTTTCAGTTATAAGTGTAGATTACTATTTAAGTCTAGTAGTTAAATTCAGTCTACATAGTTTGATTTCAATGGTAAAATAGATTAGGGTGTTACAGATTGATTATTAGTGTTATCAAATTGTATTTAATAAATGTTATATGCTTGCTTTATCTCACATACATAAGATACTTAAAACCATCTTATGCTTTCATAGAAGAAAGGAAATCCTAGAAGTTTTAATAAATGAAAAAAAATTAATTTTCTACCAAGTATTTTTATATATCTCGTGTAATTTGTCGTTAACTTCGTAATTTTTTCTTTTTAAAATCATTTACGTAAATTAATATTTTTAAGGAGAAGTTGGTAGAATGTAGAGGTATGCCAGAATGCTTAGGTTTAAATGGGGTGATGATTAGGGGTGTAAATCAAGAGAACATTTTTGATGAGTTGTTTGCAAATTGATCATACATTGTAGGTTTATATTTGTTTATTAAGTTGAATAAACGGGTATGAATAAACTCATTAATAAATGAACGAACAAAAATATAAATGTGTTTTTCTTTATGGACTCATTTAGGATTTTATTGTTTGGATATCTTTTTATTTTAGTTTTTATTATTTTGAATATTGGTGAAGATAGAGATTAAAATGAATACAATGTGAACTTTGGAGTTGAAAATGTTAACATGTGAAACTTAAGGACTAGTGACCTAAATTTTTCATTTTTCTTTACCTCATAGATGAAAGAGTAAAACGAGAGCGTAAGTTGCTGAGGGGATTACAACCATATAAATGAATGTGTCCGTTAATGTTAAATGAATATCTTTGTAAACGTTAATGAATTAAACATGAACACCTTCAAAAATAAATAAATGAACTTTGAAATAAACACAAATATAATATGAACACCTTGAAAAATAAATAAATGATTACAAACACAACCTTGTTCATTCTTGTTTGACTCATTTACACCTCTAGTGATGATTAAGTAACGAAGTGGATCAGGGTTAATGTAGTGGTGTAGGTGATCTGAGTTAATTATTGTTTTTTGGTGGGAAGGAGTGAGCCGAGTTTGTTATTAGGGTTATTGTCATTGATAGCGACTATGGTCGAACTGGGTATTGTTGTGGCATGATGGCTACCGTGGAAGTTCAAAGGAGTGATCTCGGTTTCAGCAAGATAGTGTTTGGGAAGAAGGAAAAGACAAGAAAATGATGGAAAAATATACCCAAAAATGAGAGAAAACATCGTTACATATTCTTATTAATACCTGGGCATTTATTACATTTATATATCCTTGAGAATACAAGTAATTGCTGCTTTAACTTTGTTTAACAACTACCAACAAATTTCAGTTAAATTGGCATATAGTCAAATCAACTTTTATAAAAAAAAAGTAATTTGATGGAAAATGAGAATCAAATTAACTAAATTCTACCCCTAATGAAGTATCAATAGTCAGTAATCTCAGTTTGATGGAACCGCTTCTTTCTCTCTTCCTCTTGGAAAAAAAGATCGACCACTTGTCATGAAATCATCAGTTGCAACTCTTTGTCCAAATCGGAAAAAGCCTACTATTATCACAATCTAAATGTTATCATCAACGATAATCTTGTTTATTGTTGTTGTTATGGGGGTAAGTAATCGGATTGGTTTCAAACTAGTGCTCCTTATCTGTTAAAAGGGTTAAAGTAATGATTTTAGGTATATGGTTACTCACTCCTATCTTGGTCCCATCCCAGTATAGCTCTTCCATTTGCTTTTGCTTCAATGAGAAACCATCCCCATCACCATTCCTTCGCGCACACATGAAGAAAAACAATATTTTTACTTCATTCATACGCATCTCTAACCAATATGTCTTCAGTTCCATGTGGTGGTTAGTATTTAAGAGAGGTTTACCATTGTTTCAGCTCTCGGTGGAGACCGGTTATCGATATTGATTCAATGGAAGACAGTAATGTCACTGCCTGCAACGGTGATGATGTTATCCTGCTGTAGAAATGCTTTCATTAACGGCATATATATGATCAGTTGTTATAGATAATTATATGTGTTTGTATGCAGATCTTGATACGAAGGTAAACACCATTCTTGGCATCATCGTGCAAGACGACAGAGATACATTTGCCAAACGTGCCAAGATGTACTATCAGAAGCGACCCGAGCTCGTTGAGATGGTCGAAGAGCTGCGGAGATCGTACCGGTCATTAGCTGAGAAGTCTGACCAATTGAGATCCCAAGGACTGCAAAACTATTTTCAAGGCCATGAGGAACTTAACGGAGTCCGGTGTTCTAGTTTGCATCCCAAGTTCAGTGCCGAAGACCCCGATCAGGAGATAGAATTCGATCAAGACGCCTCGAATTCGATCAAGACGAGACCGGCCGATGAGCAGAAGAACATCAAGTTCCAGCGTAATATAAGTGATTGTTCTCTACTAATGGAGAACGAGAAGCTGTGGAATGAACTGAGGTTCAAGGTGTCGGAACTGGTAGACGATAATGTAAGCCAGCAGACCGAGTTGATAAAGAGAAATGAAAACGGAAGGACATCGGAATTAAGCGATGAAGTTGGTAAGAAAACTAGGTCTCGATTATCATGGCTCAAGAGACTGTTTTGCGCAAGGAGTATGGAATCACATGGTAGTTAGGTACCTAGCTAGGTTAATTGCCTTCTCATTCATTATGATTCTTAATTTATGCTTGTCTGACCTTATTTTATAGTTGGTGTACTAAAATTTTATAAATTATAAATCTTGCCGCTACTCTTATGGGTGATAATGCTATTAGTTCTCAGTATTTGCGTGTAGGTTTACTTAGATAAAACTACATAATAAAATTTATAATGAGATTTTTCTCTTTTACGACCCCTTAATATATATGATTTTGTAGACATATGCATGTTTAGGGGTGCTCAAAAAAACAAAAAAAAAAACTGCAATCGTTAATTGGTATAACCGTTACATTTAATAGGTTAATTAATCGAACCATTTATAATAAATGGTTTCGGTTAATTGAACCGCTAAAAATGATGGTTAACAGTTAAAGTTATGGTTACAGATTTTGATAAACATTTAACCAACGGATAACTGTTAATAAATTAAATTTATAATTTATTATATTTTGTCACACCCCAAAATGGGGTTAAATTTTAATCATATAAAATATTAGTGTCATTGTGTGAGCTCCCTAAAAGTGTAGGGACTGTTAGTGTAATTAGCCTAAGTTGGGTATTCAAATACCCAATTTCAGTTTTGAATTTGTTTTCCCCGTATTTCCATTTTTGCTCAATCATCTCTTTTCTTTATCTATTTTTTATTTTTCCTTAATTCGTCACCTTGAGTGTCGCTGATATTGTCATCGTCAACATCATTCGGACAGGCTCACCATTTCAGTTCGAATAGTGGTGACCTCGTTCTCGTTGTCATTGCTGTTAGCGGGGTGAAGCAAGATAATGTTCGGGTTTTGTAAAGCCATGTTTCCGTCTTGCCAAGCTCTGTCGTGAACCGACCTCGGTAAGTGATCCTCGTGCTTTAAAATGTAATATTGGAAAAAGATGGTATAATTCCAGCCACCAGAAGGCGTCTCACACGCTGTCGTTGTGCGTCTGGGAGTTGTTCTGCAACTGATGATTCGTTGTTGAACCGGTTTAACCGAACCAATTCTAGAGCATGTTGCTTGAACCAACCTGTTTGACCGACCGACCCTTTGATAGAACTGAACTCATTGACCCGACCCGTTGACTGTTGACTTTTCTCTTGGCCGTTGACTTTTCTATTGATAGTTGATTTTTTTGTTGATCGTCGACCATTGGCTTTTTAGTTGATTGTTGATTTTCGACCATTGATCGTTGACTTTGACTTTTGATCGTTAATTTTGACTTTGACCAATTGACTTTTTCCAAAGACTCCTATCACTATGTTTTTCGACGTCATAAATATGTTTCTATAGTTCGTTTTATCAAATTCTGATCCAAAATTCATGTTTTACAACATTTATCATTTAAAACCATAATTTTATTAAGTAAATTGTGAGATTTTGAACTCATTTTTTTGGTGCTACTTCTTAAAGGTAATCATGCATCTCCGCATCACTCTCTAGTAGATCATAGCCACCTCGTCCGGCTTAGCTCAATTCTGCTTCCCCATTTTGAGATGTGCCAAAGTATTAATTACTTGGTTAAAAGTCTATTTCTGTTTGATGTATTATTTCGTAATCACTTTGTACTATGTCACTATTAGATTACCAAGCCGCATGACCTAGTACTACTGATCGTGGGAAGCATATGACTTAGTTAGTATCAATTAGTTGTTATAGGTGTGTCACTTTGATCTGTTTGATACCTTAATATTGTTTGCTATTATGCTATATGATATTATTTATATGCATGTATGAATTCTGGTTGTGTGTGTTTGAGTTATGATTGATTTATGATTACTGTTGCATCATTTTAAATCTTTGCATTGATGCATTCCTGATTTTTCATGGGATTATATCCCCATACTGATTCTGCATAAGATTATTATTCCAATCTTGATTCTGCATGTAATTATATTCCCATCCTATTTATGCATGGAATCCTCTACGAGGGCAACATCCCCGTCCTGTTTTTAATTTCTGACGAGTTCCTCCTTGGAGGTTAACTCGAGCTCCTCTTCAGAGAGTAACGTCTCCATCCTAATTTCTATTTCCTGCTTTGGATCCACTTTGGTGATCTCAAGTTTTCTTCAGCATGTAATGTTTTTTATTCCGTTCTTCTATGACAAGAGGTTAGGTTGTGAGGATTCTGTATGATTTTCTAGTATTAAGTATATGGTTTTACTATTACTCGATTATCATGCTTGAAATATCTGAATTATTATTTGTATTTAGATGACACATTGAGCTTTGTAGATCACTTTGTTTCTGTTTCTATTTTCATATTATCCAAATGTATAGTTGGTTTGGCTATAAGATGAAGAGTCTTGATTTCATACCGTAAGAGGCTAAAATTTTGCTTTTAGTCTCATTAAATTGTGGCATTAGTTTATTCTAATCTCGTATTTGGTAAATAATTTTAAAACAATTATTTTTATGGTTAGCTTGATTACTCTGATTCAGTTGTAACTCCTAGACCGAGTTTAAGGGGTTAATTTAGTGATACCAGAGCACATGTTTAAACTCTCAGACTATGTAACCCACTACAGTTCTGAAAATTATTTTAAATAATTTTTGTAAAATTATTGTTAGACGAGTATGGAAATTATTTCTGAAAAATCATGCCACAAGATTTTTAAATATTTTCTTAAACTCTCGAGGCTCTGATGTCATTCTGGATAGTTACTACCTTTTTGTAATCTTAATGTGATACTTGATGTATATAATCATAGGTTTGGTATGAATACCTGATATTTTTTAGACATCTTGGTTGATTACTTCGATTGTAAGATTTGAACTCTAGCGAGTAATCGTTAGTTGATTAGTGATCGTCATTCAGTGTTATGAAATTTTTTGTACTCGATTTAGGTGTAATAAAATAATAATTAATTCAATTCTGACTGATTTGACAATGTCTTAGGTCAATTATCCTGCTTAAGAAGTAATTTCTTGTCTTTAAAGAAAATTTGTTCATGTATGGTTTTTAGTATTATCAGTTTACCTTAAAAAATCTGACCGAAATCTCTGAATCTGTTATGAAATCTTTCCTAAGCAATAACTCGTAGGGATCATATATGACATATAGTTAAAAGTTCTTCCAAGTTCATCTATAATTGCGAGTTTTAATAAAATTTTAGTTTTGTATGACAATTCGAGTATGTAAATGAACTTTTGTTATAACGCTAAGTACGACTTTGTTTGAATTATCACTCAAACACATCGTGATTCAATTTGAAAAAGATGATTTTGGCCAACAATATATATGTAATCCTAGGATTGCTAAGATTCATAAATGTTTTACATTCTAGGGTGAAATATTATTTTGGTCTGAATTATTTGATTTACTTCAAACTCTCGGTAAATCAATTTTGATATTTGCTTAAGGCTTTCTCATTCAAGTTAATGGATATATTCTAAAAACCGAAAAGATATAACATCTGTATCACTCTGATTCAGACTATCTTAAAGAGAGAGAGTCAAGTTCGAGTCTTTTTCTAGAAACTATGCAGATTTCAGAGTGAGAGTAGAAGTGAGTAACAGTAGACTTTTTCAGTAGATTACCTTTGTCTCTGTCTAAGTAGAATTATGTCTTTGTTTTACCGATTATCTCGACAAGTTGGTTGACTTTACTCTGGGTCAAACTAGTTATATTCTTGATAGCTAACTTGATGGTATACTTCTGAGACCATTAGTTTTTGTGAGATTTGAGTTTGATGGTTTGAGATTTTTGTCACGATTCTAAAAGACTTTCTTGAGGCTCTGTGTATGGGATTAAAACTTCAGTATAATTAATTATCTGTAGTATGATGGTCTATTTAAGTGAGTTATTCAGATTCTGAAAGATAGATTAAAAGGTTGCATTATAGGGTTATTAAATAATTGCATGGATTTTTTTACTGTTGATTGAGTTTTCCTATAATAATAATGTAGGTTATGTGATAGCTGTATAGTTATAAGTTTAACATAATTCTAACTCTTAGAATGTTAGATATATAAGGATTACTAATAAATAATTTTGTTTCTATTGGAATACTTACCATAACTACTTGTATAAAATAATATGTACTTAACTATGTGAATATACGACTGAAAAATTTTTTATTCATCTTTTTTTCCAATTACCTTTATCAACGTTCATTCATCTCTTTTGTCGATTAACTTTATCAATATGGTATCAGTTAGGTGAGCGATCCTTCTCCCTAACCCTAGTTGATCGTTCTTTCTCATAACCCTAGCCACCAACCATGACTTTTGCCTCATCTACATCGGATGTCACCTTAGAAATCCTCATAAATTCATTCAATTCAAACATCACAGATGTTTCTTCCGCCTCTACCACCTGTTACCGATTGAATGGTGACAATTATATCACTTGGTCTAATCTACCAGTCTCTATATTACCTGCTGGCGCAAGCAACACTATCTCTTAGAGACCACGCCCATTCCTATTATAATGAATCCTGATTATTCAACTTGGCTGACTGAGAATACTATTATTATGTCATGTCTCATCAATTCCATGATTCTTGTTGTGGAGAAAATTTTCTTCTATGCGAAACAGTTATCAAAATTTGGAGTGCTGCAAAGGCAATGTATTCGAATGTGTAAAATTTAACTGCCCTATTTGGGATTGAGTTCCAACGAACACAATAATGCAGATGTCTCCCACAACCCCAAGGTTAAGAGCCTTGTGTTCTACCAACTGAGTTGGATGGTCATTTATTGGTTTAATTCAACAAGTGTTTCAATTATCTAAAAACTAGTCCTCAAGGGTAACAAATCAACTGTCAACTAGTCCTCAAGGGTAAGCTTTAATATCGGAACACTTCGAGTACCTGCAGTTCTGGAAACACTCGGGAGCACAATAACCCGACGCTGCTCGATCGATGTTAGACATGAGCTTAGACAATCCGCAATCGGCCAGCCTCGGTTCATATTCACCATCTAACATCACATTAGTAGGCTTCAAATTGTAGTGCAAAATCTGAGGATCACAAGTAAAGCGAAGATATTGAAGGCCCTTAATCACCTCCACAGCAATCCTAAGCCTGACATCCCATCTAAGCTGCAACTGGTTTACCCTTACTCCATTCATCACATCCTCGAGGCTCCCCATTGGCATATAATCATAAACCAAAGAGAACCAATCGGATTCTCGAACATAAGCCCGTAAGCTCCTCAAATGCCTGTGCCTCAAGCTAGCAAGAACCTCAAGTTCTTGTTGTATCCTCCTCTTCACTGACTTGCTCGAGCCGCTGTCGAAGGGCTCCTGCACTTTGACGGCTACGATGAGGCCATTATCGAGAACCGTCTTGTAGTACTTGCCGTTGGAGCTTGACCCCAACAACAGGTTCTCATTGGCTAGGGCTGATTGAAGTGTCTTGGAAGATATCATGGGGGAAAATATAACTGGACCTTTAAGGAACGGGGTTTGGTTGATGTACTGAACAGTGAGTTTGATTAGTAAAGCGAAGAAAGGAGATCCAACCGATCCAGTTAGAATTCCCAGCACAATGCTGAGAATTACCCTTTTGAATCCAATCTTGAGTTGTCTAATGATCATTTCTTTGCATTCTACAGTTGTTGTTTGGTGAAAGCATAGAACCAGAAGCAAAACCAAACACAGAGTGAACCTGCAACTTTTGATTTCCGCCATGGAAGCAAAACGTAGCTACCAACAAAACCAAAGGCAGAGAGAACATGAGACAAAACACACATATACCTACGGTTCTTCTTTTCTTATCTTAAAGCTTCAAACTTGGTGGGAGTAACAGATGAAAAAAATCGAATCTTTCTTTCTTTTTCCTCAACTCAAAATCTTATGAGGAAAGACGCAAAGAATCGATTCGTCACTGAGTTTGAATTGTTCCTTCAACTGCAACACCAAGCGAATCGAATCTTCACATTTCAAACAAAAATAAAACAAGAAATTGTTCCCAACTTGAGCAACAGATACATTTCACAGTGAAAATCATCTCTCTCTCTCTCTCTCTTTTACTTCAGATATTAAATTTAACAGGAAAAGAAAATGAAAACCCAGACTTTATTTTTCAGTTTCACTCTCAGGCCATAGCATAGCTCAAAAAAGTTATATTTTTTCCACCTTTCTAGATAAATAATTGATGGGGTTCAAGATATCAATACAAAACAAATCAAGCACTAACAGTTTCCATTCTCCGTTAGTTTAATTATAACCAAAATCTGCGTAAGAAAAAAAAAACAGAGCTTTGTTGGTTTGCATTCCCGCCTTAGAGAAAACAAAGAGAGCAAAACGCGCGGTGGGGTCGGCTGCCACGAAGGCGGAGGCGTCGGTATCACGAGTGCGAGTCAGTGAGTACAAGAGATGATCGTGAGCGCTGACTGGGTTTGTTGGTTTACCTGACGATCAATGAATCAGTGGCCGGGAATTTGTGCGATGTGGTTTGATTTTTTTTCTTTTTCTTTTTTAGTATATACGCTTAATTAAAATGATTGTATTTAACCAACAATCGAGATAGATGACTCATTAGATCTTTTAAATAAAAGTCAATGATTTAAATTCTAACGCTTATGAGCAAACTTAATTGGAAGAGTCACCATAATCTCTATAATACTCGATCCGAATTAACGAATTAATAAATTAACGATTGTTTAAGCTAAACGTTAACATTTTAATAGGAATATGATAGTCTTTTGAAATTTCAACACTAGATTTTATCATATTTCAGTGAACAAGTTAATATTTCAGCTTAAATTACAATAATTTTTTTAACGAAAAATAATAATTTTGAAACATATGAATGATCCAATGATTATTTTATAACTTATAATAATTAAGAATATATGAAATAAGCTATGTGAATATATGAAATGACATATGAATATGCAATACGTGATACATGTGATATGATATGAAATACATGGTTACACATATATGTGGTATGTGACAGAAAAGAAAGAACAAGTGATGAGAAATGTATTCATCATAAATGCCTATAGTATATGATACGAGAGCTATAGGTATAGTTGGCATGCCAAGAGTCGAGGGTATTGTAGTCCTTCGGGACGTAGTGGTCCTACGGGACATATATATCAATCCTTCGGGACGAATATTGAACAAATGTTCGGTGCCCATGAGGGAATTTATACGAGTTGTGGTGACAACATTAGTGCACAACCTCAATGTACTCACATACCTTTGTTCTCGACAACAATATACATGGGCAATTGAAATATAAATTAAAGTGAAAGTGATGCAAAAAGGTAAGTTTCATGTGTGCATGACTTGGTTATATATGTCATATGAAATATATACATGCATATTGAAATATCATGATCAAATGGTAAGAATGCATATTCATGAATCTACTGTTACATGTTTATTTATTGCCTCACTAAGTCTATGACTTAGTGTGTAAGTGATTTACACGTAGGTACCAAGAAACGAGAAGAACAAGAATAGAAGTAGCAAGGACAATATTATTACTAGAAGATCAGATCAGAAGTAATCGACAAAGTAGGTATTTTGTTGTGTAAAGAGTGTTGGCATGTAATAAGTCATTAATTATGAACACTCTGGTCGAGTTTGTATTTTATGGTATCTTTTATGTAAATTAACGTATTTTATTTTAAAAAAGTTTTAAATTCCCGGGGTTTTTCTTTAAGAGTCAAAGTTTTAAAAGTTAAAGTGACACCTCGGGCTCGTATTCGAGTCGGGTACGGGTTGGGGTGTTACACCCTAAAATGGGGTTAAATTTTAATCATATAAAATATTAGTGTCATTGTGTGAGCTCCCTAAAAGTTTAGGGACTGTTACTGTAATTAGCCTAAGTTGGGTATTCAAATACCCAATTTCAGTTTTGAATTTGTTTTCCCCGTCTTTCCATTTTTGCTCAATCATCTCTTTTCTTTATCTATTTTTTTTCTTTGATTCATCACCTTGGGTGTCGTTGATATTGTCATCGTCAACATCATTCAGACAGGCTCACCATTTCAGTTCGAATAGTGGTGACCTTGTTCTCGTTGTCATCGCTGTTAGCGGGGTGAAGCAAGATAATGTTCGGGTTTTGTAAAGCCATGTTTCCGTCTCGCCAAGCTCCATTGTGAACCGACCTCGGTAAGTGATCCTCGTGCTTTAAAATGTAATATTAGAAAAAGATGGTATAATTCCAGCCACCATAAGGCGTCTCACACGCTTGTCATTGTGCGTCTGGGAGTTGTTCTGCAACTGACGGTTCAAGTTGTTGAACCGGCTAACTGAACTAATTCTAGAGTATTCTGCTTGAACCAACCTGTTTGACCGACCGACTCTTTGATAGAACTGAACTCATTGACCCGACCTGTTGACTGTTGACTTTTCTCTTGGTTGTTGACTTTTCTATTAATAGTTGACTTTTTTGTTGATCGTCGACCACTGGCTTTTTAGTTGACTGTTGATTTTCTTTTGATTTTCGACCATTGATCGTTGACTTTGACTTTGACCTATTGACTTTTCCCAAAGACTCCAATCACTATGTTTTTCGATGTCATAAATATGTTTCTATAGTTAGTTTTGTCAAATTCTGATCCAAAATCCATGTTTTACAACATTTATCATTTAAAATCATAATTTTATTAAGTAAATTTTGAGATTTTGGACTCATTTTTTGGTGTTACTTCTTAAAGGTAATCATGTATCTCCGCATCACTCTCTGGTAGATCCTAACCACCTCGTCCGGCTTAGCTCGATTCTGCTTGCCCATTTTGAGATGTGCCAAAGTATTAATTACTTGGTTAAAAGTCTATTTCTGTTTAGATGTATTTTTTGGTAATCGCTTTGTACTATGTAACTATTAGATTACCAAGTCGCAGGACCTAGTACTACTGATCGTGGGAAACATATGACTTAGTTAGTATCGATTAGTTGTTATAGGTGTGTCACTTTGATCTGTTTGATACCTTAATAATGTTTGCTATTATGCTATATGATATTATTTATATGCATGTATGAATTCCGGTTGTGTGTGTTTGAGTTATGACTGATTTATGATTATTGTTGCATCATTTTAAATCTTTGCATTGATACATTCCCGATTCTTCATGGGATTGTATCCCCATCCTGATTCTGCATAAGATTATATTCCAATCTTGATTCTTCATGTGATTATATTCCCATCATGTTTATGCATGGAATCCTCTACGGAGGGCAACATCCCTGTCTTGTTTTTTAATTTCTGATGAGTTCCTCCTTGGAGGTTAACTCGAGCTCCTCTTCAGAGGGTAACGTCTCCATCCTAATTTCTATTTTCTGCTTTGGATCCACTTTGGTGATCTCAAGTTTTCTTCAACAGGTAATGTTTTTCGTTCCGTTCTTCTATGACAAGAGGTAAGGTTGTGAGGATTCTGTATGATTTTCTAGTATTAAGTATATGGTTTTACTATTACTCGAATATCATGCTTGAAATATCTGAATTATTATTTGTATTTAGATGACACATTGAGCTTTGTAGATCACTTTGTTTCTGTTTCTATTTTCAGATTATCCAGATGTATAGTTGGTTTGGCTATAAGATTAAGAGTCTCGATTTCATACCGTGTGAGGCTAAAATTTTGCTTTTAGCCTCATTAAATTGTGGCATTAGTTTATTCTAATCTCACATTTGATAAATATTTTTAAAACAGTTTATTAAACAAAATTTCATCCGTAAATTATTTATGTGGTCAGCTTGATTACTCTGATTCAGTTGTAACTCCTAGACCGAGTCTAGGGGGTTAATTTAGTGATACCAGAGCATATGTTTAAACTCTCAGACTATGTAACCCACTACAGTTCTGAAAATTATTTTAAATAATTTTTGTAAAATTATTTTTAGACGAGTATGGAAATTGTTTCTAAAAAATCATGCCACAAGATTTTTAAATATTTTCTTAAACTCTCGAGGCTCTGATGTCATTCTGGATAGTTACTACCTTTTTGTAATCTTAATGTGATACTTGATGTATATAATCATAGGTTTGGTATGAATACCTGATATTTTTTTAGACATCTTGGTTGATTACTTCGATTATAAGATTTGAACTCTAGCGAGTAATCGTTAGTTGATTAGTGATCGTCATTCAGTGTTATGGAATTTTTTGTACTCGATTTAGGTGTAATAAAATAATAATTAATTCAATTCTGACTGATTTGACAATGTCTTAGGTCAATTATCCTGCTTAAGAAGTAATTTATTGTTTTTAAAGAAATTTTGTTCATGTCTGATTTTTAGTATTATATTCAGTTTACCCTTAAAAAATATGACTGAAATCTCTGAATCTGTTATGAAATCTTTCCTAAGCAATAACTCGTAGTGATCATATATGACATATAGTTAAAAGTTCTTCCAAGTTCATCTATAATTGCGAGTTTTAATAAAATTTTAGTTTTGTAAGACAATTCGAGTATGTAAATGAACTTTATTATAACGCTAAGTACGACTTTGTTTGAATTATCACTCAAACACATCGTGATTCAATTTGAAAAAGATGATTTTGGCCAACAATATATTTGTAATCCTAAGATTGCTAAGATTCATAAATGTTTTACATTCTACGGTGAAATATTATTCTGGTCTGAATTATTTGATTTACTTCAAACTATCGATAAATCAATTTTGATATTTGCTTAAGGTTTTCTCATTCAAGTTAATGGATATATTCTAAAAACCGAAAAGATATAACATTTGTATCACTCTGATTCAGACTATCTTAAAAAGAGAGAGTCAAGTTCGAGTATTTTTCTAGAAACTATACAGATTTCAGAGTGAGAATAGAAGTGAGTAACAGTAGACTTTTTCAGTAGATTACCTTTGTCTCTGTCTAAGTAGAATTATGTCTTTGTTTTACCGATTATCTCGACAAGTTGGTTGACTTTACTCTGGGTCAAACTAGTTATATTCTTGATAACTAACTTGATGGTATACTTTTGAGACCATTAGTTTTTGTGAGATTTGAGTTTGATGGTTTGAGATTTTTTTCACGATTCTAAAAGACTTTCTTGAGGCTCTGTGTATGGGATTAAAACTTTAGTATAATTAATTATCTGTAGTATGATGGTCTATTTAAGTGAGTTATTCAGATTCTGAAAGATAGATTAAAAGGTTGCATTATAGGGTTATTAAATAATTGCATGGATTTTTTTACTGTTGATTGAGTTTTCCTATAATAATAATGTAGGTTATGTGATAGCTGCATAGTTATAAGTTTAACATAATTCTAACTCTTAGAATGTTAGATATATAAGGATTACTAATAAATAATTTTGTTTCTATTGGAATACTTACCATAACTACTTGTATAAAATAATATGTACTTACCTATGTGAATATACGACTGAAATTTTTTTTATTCATCTTTTTTACAATTACCTTTATCAATGTTCATTCATCTCTTTTGTCGATTAACTTTATCAATATGGTATCAGTTAGGTGAGCGATCCTTCTCCCTAACCCTAGTTGATCGTTCTTTCTCATAACCCTAGCCACCAACCATGACTTTTGCCTCATCTACATCGGATGTCACCTTAGAAATCCTCATAAATTCATTCAATTCAAACATCACAGATGTTTCTTCCGCCTCTATCACCTGTTACCGATTGAATGGTGACAATTATATCACTTGGTCCAATCTACCAGTCTCTATATTACCGGCTGGCGCAAGCAACATTATCTCTTGGAGACCACTCCCATTCCTATTATAATGAATCCTGATTATTCAACTTGGCTGGCTGAGAATACTATTATTATGTCATGTCTCATCAATTCCATGATTCCTGTTGTGGGAGAAAATTTTCTGCTATGCGAAACATTTATCAAAATTTGGAGTGCTGCAAAGGCAACGTATTCGAATGCGTAAAATTTAACTACCCTATTTGGGATTGAGTGCCAACTTGCTAACCTCAAATAAGACAACCTGATCGTTACTCAATATTTTACACAAATTTCATGTTTATGGCATCAACTTGATTTGTTCGAATCCCATAAATGGAGGTGTGTTGATTGTAACACCTATAGCCCGTATGTGTCTCAAAATACGAGCTAAAGATGACACATCAATTTTACAAACATTCACTGATCATAAATGCTTAAAATTTTGTTCCATTATAAAACATTTCATTATTAACTTAACAATTATTCTATTAATCATGTAAAATCATAAAATAATAATTCTCATATAAATCAAGCTTAATTTTAGGCAGAAGTTCAGTAGATCAATAATAAACAATACTGTTTAAAAACTGTCTAATTTTAAAATATTTCGTTGTTCTCGTAAAATATGATTTTTATCTAAAATATAAAACTTAGATTCATATTTCTAACCCTAATAATATATCTTATACATTTCTTATTCGTATACATGCCATCTAGAAATTTTAAAAATAACAGGATGCCATTACTATACCTTTAGTTGTTCTTTGTTGATTGATGTCAACTCGACTCCTTACGTCACTTGCCATTCTTTATCTACGCATGAAAATCATCACACACTAAGTATTCACTTAGTGAGACATTATAAACAAACTAAGGTAACATAAAATATTAAACAACTTAACAACATCATAACATTATATTTCTTTATATAAAATTTAACTTAAAATATCATAACAATTCAAAACATTAAACTTAAATTCAAATAAAATCATTAAATATCCAAACCGATTTATTCAAGCCATCTTTCCTCATCAGAGACCTGAAAATCATAATCTCATGATTTTGTCAAAACTATGATAATTAATAATAAACATAACAATCATGTCATATTCTATTTCATTCAAATACTTTTAAGATATTTCTTATTTTATTCTCATTTCCCACTTTCATATTCATTCACATAATCATTTTCATAATCCATGTTTATAATAAGTACTTCCACAATTCAAAATTTATTTTTTGAATCAAAACTTATTTCCAGATTCATAACTTATTTTCAGACTCATAACTTATTATTAGATTCATAACTTATTTTCAAATTCATAGCCCAATGCATATTTATAAGAATCCAGGGTATGTGAGTCATACATAATGTGAACACTAGGCAATTCAGTGCCAAAGCATCAACATAAGGTACACTCCTAGTGCAAATCATATCATATTCACCAACGGTGCCATATGTAATGTCTCAAAATACTCAAGGGAATTGTGTTGTGAATACTGGTTTGCAGGGGAGTTCATTTACTAAAAACAAATGGAAGAGTTATAACAAATTTTTAGTCAGTTAAATCCTTCTTCCCAATCCGCGCAAGCGACTCCCTCTCATGAAAGTAAAATTTATTATGCTACTTTGGCTAAATCCAACACTTCTACTTTGATTGTGGATTATGGTGCAAGTGACCATATGACATGTGATCTTCGGCTCTTTCATACTTTCCATGCCGACTCATCTATCTACTATATCCGAACAACGAATGGTTTTCTTTCTGGTGTTGCTAGCCATGGGTCTATTCAAATATATCCAAACAATTTTATCTGATGTTTTTTATGTTCCCAATCTCACTTACAATCTTCTCTCCATTAGCAAGTTATCTGTCGAATTATGTTGTACAACGAAATTTAACTCTAATTTTTGTGAATTTTAGGATTTGAGCTTAGGGAAGGTGATTGGCAGTGCTAGGCTTTGTAGGGGTCTTTACCTGCTTTCGGTAACCTTATTTTCCCAACCTTTTGCTTCCTTAAATGTTATACGATAATTTCCTTTGTTTGATCATTCAACCGATGTTATGTTATTGCACTTTTGCTTAGGACACCCTAGTTTCTTTTATATTGCCAAGTTGTTTCCACATTTATTTATCAATAAAAGTCCTAAATCTTTTTCTTGTGATATTTGCCCTCTTGCTAAACAAACTAAGAGCGTTTACCTCCTTTCTCCATACAAATCGTCCAAACCATTTACCGTAATCAATAATGATATTTGGGGACCATCTCGGGTCGCATCTTTACATGGGTTTTGGTGGTTTATTTCATTTATTAATGAACATACTCGTACAACCTGGACCTTTCTCATGAAAACTAAATCAGAAGCATGCGAAATATTTAAATGATTCCATAAGATGGTTGAAACCCAATTTCAAAGTTCTATCCAAATGTTTCATTCTGACAATGGTAGTAAATTTTTTGCCAATGTTTTGGGTTCTTTCTTTCACGAAAATGGGATGCTAAAATTTAGTTTTGTTTCATTTTAGTATCCATTCAAAATTTAACGTTGAGTTTTGAAAAATTGAAAGTTTTTAATGGTGGGATGCTAAAATGAAATCAAAACTAAACGTCAAGTATGATTTTGAAAAAAATGAAAGTATAAGTACTAAAGCAGACCAAAAATTGATAATTTAGGTACTAAATACATAGTTTACCCTAATTTTTTATCTTAAAGAGCTAAGTTTTAGTTTCTTTACTTTCTATTTTCTAATTAATCTCATTGAATAGAATTAATATAATAAAAAATTAAATAATATTAATATAATAATAAATAAAATATTTTTTATTAATACGATAGTATCACATCATCACTTTGGATACATGACATGTGATATATCTTTATTTATATACATTTGACAGTGTTAAGTTAACATTTTTGACATACATGACTTGTTACATTAACAACAAATATTTATCATTAGTCAACGGTTTCGTCCAATTACATATCATTTTGATCCAAAATAAAATATTGAAACTAAAGTGATTCAAAATAAAAGAATATAGACAAAAATAACAGTTAATTCAAATATTATGGGTAAATTTTGACATTATGTTTTTTAAGTATTGGTTCTTTTTAAATTTGGAGTAATTACTTCATGAACCTATCTTATTTTATATCTTAATCAATTTAGTCCTTTCTCTCAATCTCTCGTTCTATTTTTAATTTCTATTCAATTTGATATTTACTTGTAGATTCAAGTTCAATCAGCTAACATATGATACTAATCTCGATAATTTTAATCTGGCGAATGAAAATTAATTATTATTATTTAATTATAATCTAAAATTCACAGTAAAACAAACGATGAAAGTTACACTAGAATCTCATGAAATAAGGAGATGATCCATACATTATTTATTTACAATCACAGTTTGATTTCAAGTTATGTGGTCATTGAACCCCCTTCTGATACTCGGGCTCACAGAACTCTCCTCCCAGATCATCACAAGCCTCACCTATGAAAACCCTGAAATCATATAAACATTTGAATTTCTTTCGAATTGTCATATATTTTATTGATGGTGTTAATTTCATATAAAAATTATGTTATTAATACGAAGGATCATCTACTTACGTCTTGGGGCTGTTGTACTCCAAGTATTCCCTGTCAAACTGCTCCGAACCGGTCTTTTCCTTGTTACTTTGAGCTTCTTTCTTCAGCTTAACCTCAGGGAACATCTCGACGACGCAGGCTTCTCCTCCGACGGTCTCGCATGCCTCGGCCGGAAAAACACTGCAACAAACCATCGTCCGGTGTTACAAAAACAAGGAGGCAAATAGATCATCTCCGTGATAACAGATGTTTGTGGAGTATTAAGTTTACGAGGCCATGGAGCTGTAATCAACCGTCGAGTTATCCTGTCCGACGGGCGTTGCTTTGATAACGAAACGTCTAGGAGTCTCAAATTTGAGCATGGGTTTACACGGCGGAGACGAGGTTTTGGTGGTTGTAACTATGGGGAGAGGTGATGAAGGTGCTAAGCTTAAGGCTGCCTGCATTTTTATTGTTGTTGGAGATCTTGTGAAATGCTGTATAAGGTTTGATGAGTTCATTAAAGACATGAATATGGATAAGGTTTGATGGCAAAGATATTTTGAACATGGGAGTGGATAAGGCAACATTATCTGGTTTGTGGTGGTGATTCCTCACTCTAGAGTTCTCCAATCACCTCACTTGGTTAGATTTTTTTTTACTAAAAACACACACAACGATCTTTGTCATTTAGGAGTGAAAACAACTCTCTTGGAACTCACATCTACATTGTATTCTAAGGTCATAGTTTGGGGATGAAATTGAAATATTTAGAAATTTAAGGACTAGTTTAAAATAGTCATAATTTGATAACGAAATTGAAATGTTCAAAAGTTTAAAAACCAATTTAAAATAAAAGTGATAGGTTGAGGAAAGGTTATGTAATTAGCTCAATAAATATTTTTTTGAATAATCTAAGGTGAATACAATTAAAACCGTTCTATATTTAAATATAGCATAATTTACACATTTAATATTTAAACTATTAGTTTTGGTCCGTTTTAGTACCTAAACTTTCAATTTTTTTTTCTCAAAATCATAAATAACATTTAGTTTTTGTTTCATTTTAGTACTCCGTCATTAAAAACTTAAAAGACGTGCTGACGGAGCATAGCTCCGATGGACTGACGACCAATCCAAATGCTGGACCACGAGAGAATGACGAGTTGACCAACATAGTCCAATTTCAGACCCATTGGACGTTGATGATGGAGATCAGAGGATGAAGAATTCGAAGAGTCTATCGTCGATTTGGAGAGATTGAGATATTTTCCAGTGAAACGAAGGCCAAAATCACGTTCAGGGATCGAAAATGTGTGGGATGGAAAGTTTGGGCTTCATCGATCGGCAAATGAGACGACTCGTCCGTTAAGTTTTAAACAGGTTACTAAAATGAAACAAAAACTAAACGTTAGGCATGATGTTTAAATAAATTGAAAGTTTAGGTACCAAAATTGATACTTTAGGTACTAAACATGTAATTTATCCTAAAATATAATTAAAAGTATATTTATGATAATAAAATGGCTATAGTTATTAAATTAATATTTACTAGATTATTATATAAATTAAAATTTACACAAATGTTAAATAATAACAAGTTTTACATTTGCATAATTATTACATTTATATTTATGTTATATATATTTTTCCATTCCGAAATAAGTATGTAAGAATTTTTTTTTTTCGTTTTGAAGGTCGAACAGACCATTTCAGGGGAAAACATAAAGAACAAAGACTCTCCCATCATTCCAAACATGAAAGCAGTGCAGTGAGAAAGCATATTCTCCCATTATTCCATCTCACCACAGGTTATTTTGCATCCAAAAGACCCTAAATTGATAATTTATATATAATACAAGAACTAATACCAGAATTCAACATATATGCAGCATACCGTACCATGATCAGTTGTTTAAGAACACAATAATGCACATATCTCCCACAACTCCAAGGTTAAGAGCCTTGTGCTCTACCAACTGAGTTGGATGGTCATTTATTGGTTTAATTCAACAAGTGTTTCAATTATCTAAAAACTAGTCCTCAAGGGTAACAAATCAACTGTCAACTAAAAATTCTGCAACGAACTCCATAATATTAACTAACAAGCCTAAAGATTCTACTACCGGATGCAGTAAGCTTTAATATCGGAACACTTCGAGTACCTGCAGTTCTGGAAACACTCGGGAGCACAACAACCCGACGCTGCTCGATCGATGTTAGACATGAGCTTAGCCAATCCGCAATCGGCCAGCCTCGGTTCATATTCACCATCTAACATCACATTAGTAGGCTTCAAATTGTAGTGCAAAACCTGTGGATCACAAGTAAAGCGAAGATATTGAAGGCCCTTAATCACCTCCACAGCAATCCTAAGCCTGACATCCCATCTAAGCTGCAACTGGTTTACCCTTACTCCATTCATCACATCCTCGAGGCTCCCCATTGGCATATAATCATAAACCAAAGAGAACCAATCGGATTCTCGAACATAAGCCCGTAAGCTCCTCAAATGCCTGTGCCTCAAGCTAGCAAGAACCTCAAGTTCTTGTTGTATCCTCCTCTTCACTGACTTGCTCGAGCCGCTGTCGAAGGGCTCCTGCACTTTGACGGCTACGATGAGGCCATTATCGAGAACCGTCTTGTAGTACTTGCCGTTGGTGCTTGACCCCAACAACAGGTTCTCATTGGCTAGGGCTGATTGAAGTGTCTTGGAAGATATCATGGGGGAAAATATAACTGGACCTTTAAGGAACGGGGTTTGGTTGATGTACTGAACAGTGAGTTTGATTAGTAAAGCGAAGAAAGGAGATCCAACCGATCCAGTTAGAATTCCCAGCACAATGCTGAGAATTACCCTTTTGAATCCAATCTTGAGTCGTCTAATGATCATTTCTTTGCATTCTACAGTTGTTGTTTGGTGAAAGCATAGAACCAGAAGCAAAACCAAACACAGAGTGAACCTGCAACTTTTCATTTCCGCCATGGAAGCAAAACGGAGCTACCAACAAAACCAAAGGCGGAGAGAACATGAGACAAAACACACATATACCTACGGTTCTTCTTTTCTTATCTTAAAGCTTCAAACTTGGTGAGAGTAACAGATGAAAAAAATCGAATCTTTCTTTCTTTTTCCTCAACTCAAAATCTTATGAGGAAAGACGCAAAGAATCGATTCGTCACTGAGTTTGAATTGTTCCTTCAACTGCAACACCAAGCGAATCGAATCTTCACATTTCAAACAAAAATAAAACAAGAAATTGTTCCCAACATGAGCAACAGATACATTTCACAGTGAAAATCATCTCTCTCTCTCTCTCTCTCTTTTACTTCAGATATTAAATTTAACAGGAAAAGAAAATGAAAACCCAGACTTTATTTTTCAGTTTCACTCTCAGGCCATAGCATAGCTCAAAAAAGTTATATTTTTTTCCACCTTTCTAGATAAATAATTGATGGGGTTCAAGATATCAATACAAAACAAATCAAGCACTAACAGTTTCCATTCTCCGTTAATTTAATTATAACCAAAATCTGCGTAAGAAAAAAAAACAGAGCTTTGTTGGTTTGCATTCCCGCCTTAGAGAAAACAAAGAGAGCAAAACGCGCGGTGGGGTCGGCTGCCACGAAGGCGGAGGCGTCGGTATCACGAGTGCGAGTCAGTGAGTACAAGAGATGATCGTGAGCGTTGACTGGGTTTGTTGGTTTACCTGATGATCAATGAATCAGTGGCCGGGAATTTGTGCGATGTGGTTTGATTTTTTTTCTTTTTCTTTTTTAGTATATACGCTTAATTAAAATGATTGTATTTAACCAACAATCGAGATAGATGAGTCATTAGATCTCTTAAATAAAAGTCAATGATTTAAATTCTAACGCTTATGAGCAAATTTAATTGGAAGAGTCACCATAATCTCTATAATACTCGATCCGAATTAACGGATTAATAAATTAACGATTGTTTAAGCTAAACGTTAACATTTTAATAGGAATATGATAGTCTTTTGAAATTTCAACACTAGATTTTATCATATTTCAGTGAACAAGTTAATATTTCAGCTTAAATTACAATAATTTTTTTAATGAAAAATAATAATTTTGAAACATATGAATGATCCAATGATTATTTTATAACTTATAATAATTAAGAGGGTCAACAAAATAATATATATAATCAAGCTTTTGTAAATTTTCTTTATATTCAAATAATTACCTTCAAGAGATTAAAGTTGGAAGTTAAGTTCTGCATTAAGCCACAATCCTCTCTATGAAAGAGATTTCAACTTAAAATTAACAAAGGTCATTAACTATTAGAGTAATGACTTAGTTGACACAAACGATTATATTCGTTCAAGATCAAAATTATTAATTTTATTTATTTATTTATTTATAATTAACTATATTAGATTCATTAATTGTTAATCTAGATTATACAACACAAAAACTCATTACAAAGACAGATTCGTTTAACTCAATTTACTCCATTCGCATGATTAGAATTCAAATCCTGAACGTTGTTTGAAAAACCTAAAACCTCGATTTATTAGACCTGCACATTGTTGGTTTAGATATATACAATTAAATGAAAACCAAAATTTTTATTTATATAACCACATCAAATTATAATTCACTTATTATATTGTGCATTTAATCGAAATCCAATGTAAACTTTAAAATTTAGAAAAATAAAAGGACGAAAGAAGTAATATAAGCAATGTTTGGTGGTATTTAGTAGGGATATTCGCGGTCGGTTAACCATATTGTTTATAACAGTTACTGAATTTTACTAACAATAACCTAACCATAATAAACGGTTAACCGTTACAAACGGTTCGGTACACAGGTTAACTTTTAGTTAACCTATTACAAATTTATTTTTCACATTTTTACTCCTTAATTTAAAAAAAAAATACATATTGATACTACATATACATACTAAATTTTCATATTTTTATATTATTTTAAAGTTCCAACACACACAAAATACGTAATTAATCATACTATAAATTTAAGCATGTATCAATTAACAATAGTTCAAAACACCATCAAAGTTTCAAAGATAAATCTTTAGTAAACATGAAATAAATATGATAACTTAAAGTCTCTAATGACTCCAACATAAGGTAAATGAAACTTCTATGATGTAGTACCGCAAGTCACAAAAATTAACTGTAATATCAAATCACCAACACTCAATGTCTTCATTGGCTTCCTCCGAAATAGAATTTATCTCATCAATCATAATTATTAACCTTTCTCCAAATCTTCTAACTCAAAAAGACTTTCCTCACTCATAAATAATTAAGATGATAGGTTGTTAATAATAATAATAATAATAATAATAATAATAATAATAATAATAATAATAATAATAATAATAATAATAATAATAATAAACCAAGAAAGAAAGATAGAAGAATGAGTCTCTTAAATTAATTTGAAATAGAATTGTTTTGAAGAAAAAAATAGTTAATTATAAAATCAATCTCCAATTTTTACTACGATTTGTAGAGTCATCTTTAAAAATTATATTTATAATTTAATAATGGTTAATCATTTTATCAAAATTTACAATCATAACCGTAACTATTAACTTTTATTTTTAATGATTTGATTAACTAAAATCATTTAATTTTAATAATTCAATTAATTAACCTGTAAAATATGATGGTTACACTAGTTAAGTTACATGCTAATTTGCACACCCTAATATTTAGGGAGGTATGAAAGAGCAGCAAGTGCATGAAACGAAGTTTTTGACATCCAGTTTTTCCTTATTCTCAGCGTGCAAAAGCTGCTTATACTTTCCAACCATGGGCTGCCCTTCCTTTTGCCCCTCAACGAATCCAATGCAACCAAGTATTTCATCATCCTTCATATTCATAGCTTGTATTGGATTTAAACAAAATGCATAATGTCAAAAGTATCCCCAATATTGACTAAAATAGTCATTTTGGCCCCTATTATTATTTTTGGAACATTTGGGCCCAACGTTTAACTTTGGGACAAAAACTCCCTATGTAGATAAAAATCATTAGTTAAAACACGATCAACGTTCCAAAATATGAGCTTTTTTTAACTTAAAATGAAACATTAACGGCTAAAATGCCTCAAAATAATAAGGGACAAAGTGATTAATCTATTAAATCTTAGAGGATCTTTTTACCCTAAAATGAAAAGTTAAGGGCCAAAATACTCCAGAAAATAGAATAGAAGACAAAATGACCATTTCGGTAAACGTTGATTACTAATTTTGGTATTGTACCTTAAATAAAATATGCATAATCCCCTCGTATTAAAATTTATTATTTTAGCACGAATCAAGTGACTGTATAGGTTCAATGATTTATTATTATTCTTTGAGGTCCCGGATTTGAGCGTCGTGTATGCAGAGTTATAAACACTTATTGTCAAATGGTTGAGAGTTTTTAAATATATACTACTTTATATTCATCTTAAATTTATAAAAAAATTACTTTATTTATTAAAAACTATTAATTTAAGATTTTATCTCACTGCATAAAATTATCGATGTTAATTATAAAGTTTTTTTTATTAATACTCGATATTTGATATATTGATCAACTAAATTGTATCACGTATTATAAAAATCCATTATGAAGTGGTTATCTCAACTTAACTTACTCCATTCACAATTTCATGATTTGAATTTTAATCTTACTTAAGAGATCTATTGTTTTATATCAGTAAATCAACTAATTATCAATAAGATTTATTTCAATTTAGAAAAAAAATTAAAATTATAGATAAATTTTAATTTAGTATAAAATATAATTTATAAGTTAGGATATTTTAGAAAAAAGGGTCACCTTTTCGAACAAAAAAAAAGTTGGTTGAGATTCAGATCCATTAGTACATATATTGTGATAGAAAAGAATTTTCACATAGAGCATAGGGAAAATTATTTTTCTTAGGAAATGCAATTGTTATAGTGTATAACAGAGGGTGTCTGGATGACACGACGTATTTGAAAAGATGTTTGAACAACATATCTTTGAGGAGATGTTCCAGACGATACGACGTCTTTCTCCTAGCTCCATACATACTGAAAAGCTTGTAACACTACATTCTTATTAAAAATATTCTATTATCTGGACATCTTCTCAAATACGTCATGTCGTTCGAACATCTTTCAACGTATATTTTAGCAATAATACTATATCAAAAAGTAATTCCCTTATAACGTACCTAAAAACTTTTTTCTTCATCATGTTGTTAATGCTCCGACACTATCTCACATTGAGTGGAAAATACCAATGGCATGGATATTTATAGTGTTCATTCTTCTCTTTCTTGTTGAGTGATAGAGAATAAGGAATCATCTTGTGTGTTGTTGCCATTATCTGTCTCAACACGTGGTTGTGGTTGTGGCAATACCGTGCAGATACTATCTTTTTGGAGAAAATGCGTAGATATTTTCTGAACAAATGTGAAAGAATTATATTCTGATATTTATAGGTTGCACCGTGTCATGTTTGATTTGAATTTTTCAGACGATAACAGCTGAATTTTATCCGTGAATGTTTGGATGTATCTGGATGATATTCTAGCTCTGTTCAAAAATGTTTATTGTGCCAGTTACAAAAGTAATTACGAGAGTTACAAACAACTGAAAATTAAGTCACGAATCTAGACTGCTTTGAGACCAGGTTCAACTGTTAATGACAACAATTTCAACAGAGATTAAATTCGAAAATTTAAATCAGATTTGTTTCTAATTTTTTGCATGGATGTTTTTGTCCCTGTCTAGGCCTATAAATAGAGAATCAATGTTAGCTTCTCAACTCACACTCAACACTCACAAATCCTCTCTAAACATTCAAAGGTTTTCTAAGCTTCATTTCTCTACTGCTATCAGAAGAGCAGCACCACCGACAGTCCACTTTGATTTCGAGTGTACGAATTATCGGAATGACCATGTTAACTTCGGGGGACAATACGCCTATCGCAACGATTACATACATCGAGACAAATTTATTTCTATGACAATAATTTTCACCACAACACGATTTCAGTTGATCTTTTACAAAATATATTTTTAATTTATCATATCAGTGCTAACAATATATATTACATGCTATGTTTTAATTAATTGAAGATGTTGTATGACGTATTCTAATATATATTACATGTTAATCTTTTTCTAAAAATATTAATAACAGTAAAAATTAATTTGCGATAAATAACAACAATAAACCTTTGTTGATAAAAAATGTCAAAATAAAAATA